CGAAGAGTAGTTCTGAGGAAAGCCAAGGAGGAAGATGCAGGAGGGAGGGCAGCTGGGCTGCAGGGCCAGGGCTGCCGGGGTGGATATTCAGGTGTGCTGTTCAGAGCCCCCGGGGCCACCTGTGCCCAGTGACTGGACAGGAGAGGGCTGAAGGCCCCACTGCCAGGCTCCAGCTCAGGCTTCTCCACAAGGCCACCCCAGCTCCAGAGCTCTGTGTGGGACTGGCTGAGACCTTTGTCATGACGCCTCAGAGCTCAGTGCCTCCATGCCTGGTCCTGCTCCCCTCCGCTCCCACAGAACCTTCCCCAGGAAGCCTCTGCACATCAATCTCCCCCTCGGAGCCTGCTTCCTCGGGGCAGCAGAAGCCCTGTAAAGAGGTGGGGAGAATGTGGGGTCATGGTGTACAGTGGTTTGGGCACCGGGTGAGATGCTGGGAGCCCCAGCTGGGAAGTTTCAATGCATAGGGGGTCCTGGGGGCCCCTGGGGAAGGAGGCTGGGCCAGGGAGGGCAGGTCAGGGAAGGCAGGTGGGAGAGGAGGGGCCACAAAGGCCCCCAGAGAGATGCGAGAGGGGAGAAGGGTTGTCATGGGATTCCTGGATTAGAGAGGAGGTTAGTGTTCCTGAAAGGTGGGACAAGATGAGATGGACTCAAGTTTACCACGAAGCTGCCTGTCTGTGACTGTGAACAAGGACTTAAATTTTTCAAAGCATGTATTCACTTAGCCTGGAAAATTATCGACATCCCTGCCGCATTCTAGCTTAGACCGTTACTAACGGTAGAGGATTACCTGTGTCTCTGACAGCAGGCCTTTAAGCACAGAAATTCTACGTGCGTCTAGTGGGAATTCTTAGCCTGGCTTCGTGCTTCGGGTAAAGGCATTCTGTGCTTTGGGAAGTGCCAGACCCAGGCTGGATGAGGGTTAGAGGGTCAGAGCTGTCGGAGGTATGAGAGAGGAGGCCTTCCTGAGAGAGGGCAGCATGCTGTAATGGGGGAACTCCAGGTCCTACCTGGGGGCTGCTTGGGTGTGGGGCCAAATGGCCAGGACATGCCCCTGGGCAGGACTTGGGCTGGTCACAGAGCTTGTGAAAGTGTCATGTGGTGCTGGGGACAGGCTGGGTACAAGGGAGCGAGGTATGTCCAGGGCCTGGAAAGTACTATTCTGTGGGTGAGCTCACCTAATACTCACAGCCGAATGGGAGGGCGGCGAGGCCAGGAGCCAGCTGGACTCTTCGCGGTTTACGGAGGTGCCCTGCTGGCCGAGGTCAAGGTCATACCACTCACATAGAGCAGCTCTAACCCTGGTCACACGTGTGTGGATGCGTAGACACGTGAAGATGAGCACAGGCAGGCGAAGGAGGTGAGGGCTCTTGCAGGTGAGAGTGGGGGAGAGGTGGCCATTCTGGGAGCGATCTGTACCATTCAGAAATTTAAGAGTCGGCAAATCTTATGATCCAGCAGTTGTGTTCCTGAATCTACAACACAGAGAAATTCTAACCATGTGCACAAGGACCCAGGACAAGGATGCTCATAGCAGGCAGGGTCATTTGTATGGGGTAGGGAGTGAGTCAGTGGGTGGGAGGGGAGGTGTGTCCATCCAGGCAGGTGAGGGTGGCTGAGCCGTGGTGGGAGCAGCAAACCACGGGGCTGGGTGGCAGTGGGTGTGCGCGTGATAGCAGGGCTGGGTCTTCCTAGCACAGTGCCGATTAAAAAAAAATGAGAATTTGAGTGACCAAAGTTAAAAACACACATATCCAAAACAATACAAAATTTTGCAAGAATACAGATACGCAGTGGGTGGATGAGGATGATTGTCTATTGTGGGGACTGGGGTAGATGTAGTGATAAACAGGAATAAGTAAGAACTAAGAGAGGGAGCTTACAGGTGGCAGTGGGGAGGCTGGGTCACAGGCTGAGGAACTCAGCCTCTGCTGAGGTTCCACAGACTGGTGAGAATGAAGCAGAGGGAAATGCTGGACTTCCTGGCTTCATCTGCATCCTGCCCCAGCCCAGATACCCAGGGGACGACCCACTCCCCTCTCCCCTGGCCCTGCTCTGTGCAGCACCGGGGGACACACAGAGGGATGGTTTCTGCCCTCGAGGTGCCCACCAGCCAGTACAGATGGTGAGGCCAGTGTGCAAATAACCATGTGGGAGGGGAGCACACAGCTGGCAGTTCTGCTTTGCTAATGGGAGGTGTGCGAGGCAGGGGACACTAGAGCACTCCCTCCCATGCGGAGGATCAGGGGAGAAGGTTGTGAGTCTTGGGTGCCATGCTCATGGGTTGGGACTTCATCCTAAGAGTGGCTGGGAGTCATCAAAGGGTGAGCAGGACCAGAGGCCAGCCCCCGAGCCCTGTTCAGCCGGGAGTCCTCAAGAGGAGGAGGGCCTGCCATGGAGACAGGGGTATGAGGGAGGCAGGACCCACCAGCCTCAGTGATGGAACAGTGCTGGAGAAAGGGTGGAGCCCCGAGCTGAGCCTGGGCTCCTCTCTGCAGGCCTGGAGGCTGCTCAGAGCACCGTAGGAGCAAGAAAGAATTGATAGCACCTTGCTTTGTCCAGACAGCCCCAGCTTCCAGCTGTCTGCAAAGCCCCGCTTTGTCCAGAAACACCCGTCTCCATGCTTCCATGGTCCTGCTCAGGCCAGTGCACAGGGAGCAGGGCTCAGGGAAGGACTGGAACAAATCCTATCAGGGCAGCAGGGATGGAGAGGGCAGCAGGGATGGAGAGGGCAGCTGGCCTCTAAGGCTCTGAGCATGTGTGGCACTCAGTGAGGCTGCAGTATCCCCATGGGGTGGACATGTCTCCCTCAGAATGGGGGTACCCCTTGAGATACCCTGAGAGCCAAGCCAGACCCAGTTGGAGAAGCCTTCACCCCAGAAGGGTATTTGATCTTTGCCAACATCTCAGGGAGGGGCTGGCCGGTCCACTCAATGTGTCCTGCAGGGCACCTCCCCTGGGCTCCCTGGTAAGGAGACTCAAGGCTCAGTCTTTCTCAGGGTGAGACCCATGGGGCTGTCTGTCTATAGAGCAGCTCTGCCTGGGAGGCCCTTTGGGAACTGGTCACATAAGCTGAAAACTCAGACGAGAGTTAGCTAAATCTGTGGGCTATAAGCAGAGGGCCTCATGGAAGGCAGTTGTTTCTCTCTGAATTTTAAATATCACCCCCATCCAGCTTGTCTGTACCCCTCACTTTCCCTATCCAGGTTGGCGGGGGCCAGTGGCAGGGGGCAGGAGTGTGCTACAGTACATTTCAAGTGAGTTTCAGTTTGAATGGTCATAAATTCCAAGTTGGTGAGTTGAGGTCTGGAGGGTCTGCATTTGATTTGGACTCCCCGCCACATGCGTGTGTGAACCCCAGTGGATGCACAGGTATGTCGTTCCCAACAGGGCCGGGGCAGGGCGCTGCTTAACCCCTTGTTCTCACAGATGAAGAAACACACCCAGGCCTCTGCAGAATGGTGTGGCCACCCAAAATCTCAGCCTACAAGCAAATGTCTGGTCATCCACTGGGTTTAGGGATGACATTTAATGTGCCTTAAGTGGCTGTCATTTTATTATTTTAAAGGAGTGTTTTAAGTAGTAACTCTAAGGACTATGTATTACTTCTCAGCTTACCGAGCCCTTACACATCTTTCCTTCCAAAAACACTGCTTTGAAGGAGTTCTCATTACCTGTGCCCAGAAATGACAAAAGAGGTGACCTTGCTTGTCCAAGATTGCCCAGGTGGTGAGGACAGAACATGGACTCCAAGCCAGGCCGGTCTCAGGTGTGAGGTTTTCTCTACTGCACCGTCCTACTTGCTCAGAAACCTCCTCTGGTCCTGCCAAACTCCACATTCAGCCCAACCTCGGGGCCTCTGTGCTATCAGTCAGGTGGTCTTAGGATGAGCAGAGGTTTGGCCTTTGGTTTGAGCAGGTGCCGAATCACGGCTGCACTAGGTCCCTTGGCCCGTGAGCCCCTGGCGCACCTGAGGTTGGGCCCACTGAACCAGCATGTCACTCTGGCTTGATGAGATGTTAAGGACAGAGCTGCTTGGTTTGTGTTTAACACATATACAAAAATAAATCTCTTCAACAAGCCTGCGAGCCTTCCAAAGGCCATTATCATCTGTGTACACATAAAAGATGATGGTATCAGAAAGGAAAGCAGAGTCTGGAGATGCTATTATGAAGTCCTTTTTATTTGGAGAACTAGGGCAGCCATAGGGACAGTTGAAAACCCACAGCCTACTTTACCAAGATTGTTTTCTTATGGATGATGGTAACCATGGCCAAGTGGGAGCTGTAAAGTGGCCAGGACGGTACTTGCCTGTAACTAGGGGGAAGTAGATGGCTAGAATTTTATAGCATTTATGGTTTATCTTTATTATTAAAAGTAGCTTTCACTATGGAAAATAAAGGAGTAAATACAGATGAGGATTACAGAGCAGCTTAATCCTGCTACCCAAAAGGTTTCTCTCTTCAGACTGCCAGTCATACGTATAGGCATATGCACTCCTCACCAGGCTTCAGAATTAAACACGGCACAATTAATTATGTTTTCATTGCATTGATTGTAACAGGATCCCAGCCAGGAACCAGCCTCCCAAGACTTGTCAAAAAGCTGCTCGCGGTAAAGCACGGCTGCACAGATGGCTCTGTTGGTCTGGCTGGGCTTCCTGTTTTGGCTATTTTGCAGTTCACCATGGAGTTAGCTGTAAGGTCAAGGCGACATGAGACAGAGAAGTGGGGAGCTCCGGAGTAGGTGATCTGAAAGGTAAACGAGACTTTGGCTTTTGCCCATTTTGATCAGTTTACTGCTCTTGCCTTGCAATTTACACAACACACCGATCGCTATAGAAATACTTTAACTATTGAAATTATTGCAGGAAAAATGTCTTCTGTTGAGTTGAAAATGCTCTAGTGTTTCACTCACTTTTTCCCCATTAAAAAGTTGATTTTTTAATGTGGTGTTTGAAACACGTGATTTTCTAGGAGTTGAACTAATGAAACACAACAGAACAGGTTCTCTCTTTATATATTTACATACACACATACATATATATGTAATTTAAAAAATAAAATGAGGATCATACTATACATATAACTTTGTGTTTTGCCTTCTTAATAGCACACAATATGCATTTTCCAAGGTATTATTTTTCAAAATATTTTTAATGCCTAAGGTATTCCATTATATATACATAACACATTATCTACTCCCATATTCAACATTTAAAGTGGCTCCTAATTTTTTTCTTATAAAAAAAGATAAACATTGACTGTCCACATCTCGTCATTTTTCTTACCAAAAATTTTTGACTCCAAATTACCTTCATGAGGATCAGTGATAGTGTGTGCTATCACACACGTAGTGCCCAGCACGCAGGTGGTAATTGGTAGCTATAAATGGGAAATCAAGAACCTAAGAGAACAGACCAGTTCTGTCGGAGGTGAGAGGAGAGACATGTGCTGTTTTAACAGGGTATGCTATAACTGGCCAGTTAGGAGTAAGCTGGATGAGAAGGGATGAGGTGGCTGTTTTTGCTTCCAGAAGCAGACGGGCCTGCCAGTAGCTAGAATGAAACGATTCTCTATTTTGAACCCAGTACAACACTGCTAGCCGCCCCTTCGGATGTGCTCCTCCTGAGGCCGGCTGTGAACACACTTACTCTGAACCACGCTGATGACGCTCTTGCCTCAGAACCTTCAGGTAGTAGAAAGCTGTAATCAGAGGGAAAACACGTAAATCATTGTGTTCTCAAAGATTATTTATTAACTCTTCTCACTTATGGTGGAAAAAAGTTAAATGAAATTGAAATGAGATGAAAATTCAACGTTTCTTCCCCAGGGACCTCAACTGGTTGTACAAAATGAACCAGCAGGGGCTGCATGTGTGCAGCTCACTCACAAGCAGGAGCGCTCACTAAAAGCAGAAATCAAGAAACGACAGCCTAACGTCTTCTCAGGTATGGGGTTTGACCTGGTGCAACAAGAACATCACAAGGAGGAGTCTTCTAAATAGAGACGAGGATGCTTGTAAGTCTAAGAATGATGCCTCTTCCAAGCTGCACGGCTGTGCACGGCCGGGCTCCTCTTTGGAATGAGCCTTCCTAGTCCAGACAATGCCATCGCCTGTCCTTGGGGATGGACAGTCTCTGTTCTTTGATGGAGGATTTGACTTCTGAGCAGAGTCTGGTCACCTGGAGCTGGCTCAGATGACTAAGGGAGGATGAGGTTCTGTGATGATGTTGGGAGATAAAAGCTATGAAGGCAAAAATAATGGGACCGGTTTTTCCATGTGGGCCACAGTTGGTGCTGAAGGCACCCCAAAGAGGTGGTGACTTTACACTTGCGCCCAGTGACGCGCGCGTCGTGGGAGTAGGCACACAGCCCCCTCGGGGCGCAGCGGAAGGCCGGCCTTCGTTTGGATGCTTCAGTTCTGGGAATGGTTTTTAAAACCCTGACTCACACATTTAGAGCTCACTGGGAGCAACGGCAGGACTGTTTGTTCTGTCTCACCTATCGATTTAAAACAAATTTATATTTGGTCCAAGGTTTCCATTCTTTGGGGGCTGAAGCCAAGTGGCACCATTTTTTCCTTCCTTCTTTTCACATGCTTGCTTCCTCGCCCACCAGAGGTCTGCGTGTTTGTCGTTCATGACGGCTGGAGGCAAAAGGTCCCAAGCACCAGCAGTGTGCAGGCCGGTGGTCACTGGGGCCACAGGGCAGTGACCTGAGGTGGGGGAGCTGCAGCACCGGACCCCAGGGACATCTCTCTAGGGCACCTCTGAGGTCAGACACTGCCGCGGGGCCTGTCCCAGAGGTGCCCTAGATCCGTTCCCAGACCCCAGGCCAGGTGAGAGGGACTTAGGCCTCTGGGATAGGGGTGTTGCAGTTCCCATGGTAGATCTTGACGTGGCCCTCACACCGGAAGTAGGCCTCAAAGACATCACTGTAGCCGTGGTCCCTCCACCAGGTGCACAGCTGCCGGTTCCAGGTACAGTCCAGCACGTGGAAGAGCTCGGGGTGCTCCATGCCGATCATGGTGAAGAAGTCCTGGTCCCCGAGGTGCCCCCGGAAGCGGTACTTGTTGGCCAGCTGCTGCACCTGCGCCGGCTCCAGCAGGCGGCCGTAGAGTGGGGACTGGCGCATGGCCTCCAGGTTGAGCAGCATCACCCCGCTGTTGAAGCCAGGGAGCCCTTCGGGGGGAGGACCCCCAACTCGGGTCTTGGGGTTCTCATGGCGGAACTGCCAGAATGTGTGCCTGGAAAGGGGAAAGGACAGATTTAGCCCGGGGTGTATGTGGGGCACAGTTTGCCAGTCCTGGTTCCCTGGGTCTTTACAACCACTCTGAGAGGAGGTACTGTTTTCACCCCAGGTTTACAGCTACAAAAACTGAGAGGTTCTGAGGTTCAGAATCTTATCACACTGCCAGCAAGAGGCAGAGCCGGGACCTGGATCCAGGCCTCCTGCTCTTCCCACCACACTCGGCTTCCTCAGGATGACATACATCATTGTCCGCATGGCTCGCGTTGTACAGACTTAGAACACCCGTCCCATAGAGTGTGGTACCTGTGCTTCCTAAGTGGCCACATGTCACCCACGCCCAAGGACACTGGTGCACAGGGAGGTGCAGGGACTTCCCCAAAGTCACAACCAGCCCAAGCCAGCATCAGGCCCCAGTGTCTACTTCTGAAGATTGCAACAAGGTAGGTGGAACTTTCCACCCTCTTGTCTTTGATCTTGAAAAGGAGAGAGAAAAGTGGGGAAGCAATTCTGAATGGTGAGCAGGGAAAGACACAGGCAGAAACAAAATCTTCTTCTGCTTTAGAACAAGCCTCATCATTAAGACCCTATGCCTAGCATTTCTGAAGGTGGGGTAGGGGCTGGAGGCTTGAAACCCCTCAGGAAACACCCATGGGTGAGGGTGCAAAGCAGATGTGGGAGAGGGAGGTGGAATTATGGCTATTTGAGAGAGAAGGTCAGCTCAATTTCAAGTTCTCTTGGCAGATTTAGAAATCTGATCCAGGTCCACAGCTCACAGGATGTTAGAGCCAGGGGGCCCCTTCTAGGTCCTCTAACCAAGTGCTTCCATTTGGAGAAGGGAGGGCAGATCAGAAACCTCCCAGTGAGTGACATGGTTAGAGCGCTAGCCACTCTGTTCTCCAGCCTCCTTAACATCAAGCTCCTGCAAGAGGTGGGCACAGGAGGGAGCCGAGAGTGCCCCAGGCCCCACCCCCAGTCACAGCAGAGAAGCCTGTGACGTGGAGTTAAGTCAGAGGGCCCTTTGTCAGGCGGAAGAGCAGGGGTGGGCTGGGGCGTGTTCTGCATCAAACTCCAACCCACCTACTTTACCAGCTTCGCCCCTTCCCTAGATTGTAGCGTGGGGAATGCTGCATCATGGCAAAACCAGCTCTGCTCCCAGCCTGGAAATGCCAATCTCTGGTCTGCCACAGAGACAGCTCCCCTGACCCATCGCAGGGCAGGAGCTGTGGTGAAGTGGACAACACAGTGGAAAGAAAACCAGAGGCCTGGCCTGGGTTGGGCACCCTGAGTCATTTTCCAGTTCCAACACATTCTCTGGGCCTGGGAATAGAGCTTCCTTGAGGTCTTGCATATCACAGGGGGCCAAGAGTTTGCTCCTGGCCAGGGGCAAGGCATTCCGGTTGGACATTCTTACAAGTGGAATACACAGGTTCATTGTCTGGGTTTCACCATAATTGGACTGTGAGTAGAACAGAGCACTGGCACCTGCTTGGTGATAACAACTTTAAGTTTCCAAATCAAATAGAGATGCTGGATCTTTCTAGCCATTAAAGCCTGCAGTGATGGGATCACAGCAGGGTTAGAATGTAGTCTGACTACTGTTAATTCATTTATTTCAGGAACATGTTGCAAACCAGCTAAAATTCTACCAAATAGAGCTGGGCCACCACAGAATGGCAGAGGGGACCCTCCAACTAGGGGAGGGTTTTTTTTTTAACTATTGTAGTTGGAAATGTTATTAACCCTACCCAGTAATTGACAGAGCAAGTAGACAGGGGATATGGAAGATCTGAACAGAACTATGAACCAACTTGACCTAGCAGACATTTGTAGAACTTTCTACCCAACAAGAGCAGATCACACATTCTTTTCTTCTGCAAATGGAACATTCAGCAAGATAGACGACATACTGGACTGTAAAACAAGTCTCAATACATTTTAAAAGGTTAAAAATCAGATAAAGAATGGTCCCTAACCCTCCTACACTGTTGGTAGGAATGTAGTTTGGTGCAGCCATTATTGAAAACAATATGGAGATTCCTTAAAAAACTGAAAATAGAGTTTCCTCTAGATATATGCCCAGGAATGGGGTTGCTGGATCATATGGTAAGTCTAATTCTGAAAGATACATGCACCCCAGTGTTCATAGCACTATGTACAACAGCCAAGACATGGAAACAACCTAAATGTCCATCAACAAATGACTAGATTAAGTAGTTGGGGTACATTTATACAATGGAATACTACTCAGCCATAAAAAGAGTAAAATAATGCCATGTGCAGCAACATGGATGGACCTGGAGATTGTCAGTCTAAGCAAGCCAAGAAAAGGAAAATAACATGATATCACTCATATGTGAAATCTTAAAAAAAAACTTATTTACAAAACAGAAATAGAATCCCATAGAAAACAAACTTATGGTTACCAGAGGGGAAAGTTGGTGGGAAAGGATAAATTGGAAGTTTGAGATTTGCAGATACTAACTACTATATATAAACAAGTTTCTTTGGTATAGTGCAGGGAACTATGTTCAATATCTTATAGTAACCTGTAATGAAAATGAATATGTATATGGACGACTAAAACATGCTGTACACCAGAAATTGACTCAAACAACATTGTAAACTGACTATACTTCAATAAAAACGGTCCCTAACCAAAATGGAATTGCACTTGAAATTTTCCAAGTATTTGGAAGTTAAGCCACATATCTTTAAACAAGCCACTGATCAAAGAAGAAATCATAAGGAGAATCAAAGTATTGCAAATTGGACGAATAGCCACATTCCCTTCCATTTTCAAAAGCAGAGTGACCAGCTGTCCCACGTTGACCAGCTGTCCCACGTCCTGAGAGACGCCTCGTCCCAGGCAAGCCAGGACACCTGGTCATCTATTGAAACCTCAGGGTTCAGACTGTTATGTGTCACCTTAGGAAAAGGGTTTTCTCTTTTTTCAGGGGAGGAGGAGGTTTTATTGCCAAGGCACTGGATTCAGCCCTCAGAGAGGAGAGACCCAGGGGAAAGGAGACGGAAGTGGACATCCCGAACTCCATCAAGCCCACCGGTCCTTCTGTGCTCCCCACAGCTCCGTCTCCCAGGACCACCACTGCCTCCTCAGCGTCGCACACAGCAGGGCCTCAGGAAGCATGAAGTGATGACAAGGACTGAGGGAAAGGTCACTTCAGCTCAGGCTACGTGGCCTTCAGTGTTGTCTGGCACCAGGGACAGAAAAACGTCAGGACACAAAGTTGCTGCTGCCGAGAGAAAACCCGCTGCTTCTCTGATCCCTGTATCCATCACTGGCAGGTCTATGTGGGGTAGAGTGAGGAGTGGGGACCCATGAGGGGGTGGCCAGATGTTTCAAAAGGGTTTGGAAGGGTTTCTACTCTTGAGCAAGCTGGGGAGCAGAGGGGCCATTTGCAGTCCCAGGGTGCATCCTTACCACCTTCAGCAGGGAGCTCTCCAAATCTTCCTTTTTACACGACAGTCACCTGCCACCAAACCTGCTGGGCTCAGGAAAGCGGGGCCAGAGGCAGAGAGATGGACAACATCCTTCCAGGCAGAGACCATAACCCAGGTGGCTCTAGGGGAACGTGCTGCCTAGCACTGCTGCTCAATCAGGATGAAGAGGCATTTTATGACAGCCAGCCAGAAAGAACCAGGTCTGGACATCAGCACATGATGACTTGTAAGCAGAAGCAAAGGAGGGACAGGAAATTGGAAATGCAAGCTGCCTGGGGTGTCTGCTGGGGCATCAACACAGCCTGAAAATGAACCACTGACTCTCTAAGTAGAAAATTATTGCCCTTGTTGAAAGCATTCCTACTACCCCCAAATGAACTCAAAAACACAGAGCAGCTGCTCAGGGGAATAGTGGGTTTCTCTGGCCTCCACGTCAGCTGGTTCTGGAGGAACTGCCCCAGCCTTGGGGCAGAGAGGGGTGCAGGGACGCGGAGGGGATCAGCGCTCACGTAAGGGGCTACCAAGGTGAGATCCCCAGTTCCGCACCCACCACAGAGCCCTCTGACATCATCTGCCTCCCTTCCCTCCCGGCAGCACGGGGACAGTACTGCCTGCATTTTAACAGAAGGGAACAGAGGCCCTCAGTTGTCAGGGCTCTGACGCGAATCCAGGGCTTCTGATCTCCGAGATCCCTTTCATCTTTGACTGACTTGGATTCCACCACCGGCTAATGTTCCAAGGAGCAACTCTGGAATTTCAATTTTATTTCTGATTTGGCAGGTCACTGGTGCCTCACGGACTGGCATGGGGAGGGTGTCAGACCGAGAGCCGCTCTGAGGTGGGCCGGGGGCACCCAGACCCTTGCCTTCCTCCCAGGACCTGGGCTGACCATATGTGCTCACAGGGCACCGCCAATGGCAGGAGCTGAGGCTGCAGGGAACCTCTGTATGAAGGAAGGAATCTGGTTCTGAGTCCTGGAGCTTCCAGGAGTACCTCAGATTAACCTCCAGGCCCACAGCCTAGCCACGTTGCACCGCTTAATCGTCTGCATTTGGGCCTGTGCAGCCTTGTTCTCACCCTCCAGGGTCACCTGGAGACCCACACTAGAGGGGATAAGGTTTCTTCCCTTTTAGAAACAACTTCAGCTGCGAACAAGCCCCTGTGCAGATTGTCCGCTGTAAATACTGAGTCTTTCCAGAAGCTGACGAGGCTTGTTGGGGAAGCATAATGAGGCACGTTCTTCTAGTTAAGGGTGATACGTTTTCTAATTTTTTTTAACTTCTTTTTTTGGCGGGGGGAGGAGGGAGGTAGGTTGGTTTGTTTATTTTTAGAGGCGGTACTGGGGATTGAACCCAGGCCCTTGTGCATGCTAGGCATGCGCTCTAACACTTAAACTATACCCTCCCCCCTCTAAATTTTTTATATCAAGTATGTTCTAATTAATAGTCATAAAAAGACTATTAAAAACTAGTGAAATACAGACATAGAAAACAAACTTATGGTTACCAGGGTGGGGAAAGTGGGTGGGAAGAGAGA